GAAACGTGTATTATTTATTCTGCCTCATTCAACAGGATGCAATATTTTTTTTTCCACACGTGCCAAATAAAACATTGAAACTATGCAGTAGTTTTTTTCTTTTACCTTCTTACGTACTATTTTTCCTCCTCACTCATATACTTCTTCATACACTGTAAACTAAAAAGTAAATTATAGAGTAGTTTGAAGGATATTCTAGAAATGTCTATATGAATTCGACCAACATTTTACAACTATTTGAAAATCACTAGCGATTTTAAATCTGTAGGTTTTTTGCTGGGAAATAAACTGCAATTCATAGATCCGCGAAAATCAACTAGTGAATCAAAAAATTTGAAAATCGATTGAACATATCTAAGACATTTCTAGAATTTCAGCAAAATTCACAGTGTAGAATAGCTGATCAGAAAAAGTCAAATACTAAACTTTTCTCAACTAATTATGCTGCTATCAAATTATTTAATATACTGCAATTAATTTTTACTAATAAACAAATACTAGTCATCATATGGTTAAAAATTTAGTAGAAACATCATGACTCCGGAAAGACAAGACAAGGTTCTGTATGCTTTTCAGCTTATACTTCTCTTACTGAGTTCTAACTGTGAAAAAATAAGGAACTCGATCTGCGTCGAATGATTGTAAACCTTGAATTGCTCGTGATTTAGAAGCTTGATAAATATTTAAAATGTTATTTTGTTGTACAAATCAGTTGTCATCTGTATAGAATAGCCGAATTTCATTCTTTCATACATTCAGTTTTAATGATTTATTTCGATATCTTCATACATGCAATACTTGAAACTTGAATTCAGCTATTTAATTAGACCATGCGTTGAAGACATATCGATTAATACCTATATCGCATTTTTTTAACTTTTGTCATCATCATACGAGGCCTCCTTCGATACCATCACAACTCAATTCTATTTAAGTTTTTCTTTCTTTATTACAGGGAACACTTGTAAAGAATTAGAGACGAAAATATGTCTGACAAGGTCATTTATATACATACATATGTATGTGGATTATCTTATCAACTGGCCTTCTCCATTACATTTTTATTATTAATAGACTTGTTCTCTGTGCACGCGCGTGAAACACTAGAAAATAGAATTAATTCAAAACTAAGAAAACAAAACATTCTTTTATTTATTTCTTCAAAGTTTAATACAATTCTTTACAATTTTTATATTAAGATGAGTTGGACGCAATGCACGTTGCCATATGCCCAGAGCCCATTCATTATATGACAGTGCTTTCCAATAGTTTGTCATATTTTCACACACCAAACTGATGTTGCTGTATAAGGTAGCTTGAAGAGGATGATTTGAAGGGAGATTTTTTTGTTGAATTTCAAATGCTTTTTCTAAATATGAAAGTGCTTTTGAGTACTCTCCCTTCTTGTTATAGACCATACCGACGCTGTTGCATGAAGTAGCTAAATGGGGATGATTCGAAGGGAGAGTTTTTTGTCGAATTTCAAATGCTTTTCTGTAAAATGAAAGTGCTTTCGAGTACTCTGCCATCTTGTCATAAACTAAACCGATGTTGTTATATAAAGTAGCCAAATCAGGATGATTTGAAGAAATAGTTTCCTGATAGATTTCAAATGCTTTTCCGTAATATGAAAGAGCTTTCGAATATTCTCCCATCTCGTTATACACTAAACCGATGTTGTTGTATAAAGTTGCCGAATAAGAATGAATTGAAGGAAGAGTTTTTTGCAGAATTTCAAGTGCTTTTTCATAATACGAAAATGCTTTCGGGTATTCTCCCGTTCTGGTATACAGGCCACCGATGTTGTTGTATGAAGTAGCCAATAAAGGATGATTTGATGGGTGAGTTTTTTGATAGATTTCAAGTGCGTTTTCGTAAAATGAAAGTGCTTGCGAGTACTCTCCCATTCTGTCATATACACCACCGCTGTTGTTGTGGGGAGTAGCCAAATGAGGATGATTTGAAGGAAGAGTTTTTTGTCGAATTTCAAGTGCTTTTTGGTAATACCAAATAGCCTTTTCATAATCACCCTGCGCATCTTTCACAGATCCCAGACAAACATAATATTGCGCTTTGTCGCCATCATCAGATGTCTGTTCCAGTAATACATTATAAAGTTCTTCAGCTTTATTAACTTGACCAATTTTAAGCAATAATTTACCTAATTTTATCCATTCAGTACTACCACCAGCTTCTTCTCGTATTCGATCAGTAAGTAATCGTAGTTGTTGGTCATCATCCGATGTTAATTGTAATTCAACTTCATAAAGTTGATTCTCATTGTCCATCGGTTTAACTGCACTCACTCGAAAGACGGTATGCATTGAAAAAAGAATTTCATCTTCATCCTTAAAATGACTTTTCTCTTTGATGGAGGCAAATGGTGTTGATTTAATACAAGGATCAATGGACATTACAAAAGAGAATGCCCACTTTATTTTGTTCTGTCGAAGCACATTCAGCAAATTCGAGAGACACTTTTTTATTTGTACTGGTGGATAAGAAACTATTAAATGATATAAGTCTACCTTTTGTCTTCTGAAGTTTTTCAAAGTCTGATATCATAAGACCTTGTCCTCTATAAACTATAAAAGGCTTTTTATCATAACTATTGACTTGTTGTTTGTATAGCTGTTGAATTTGTCGATGCAGATGAGATATAAAAAATCCCATAGTAATAGTTCTATCGGCGTCCAGTGTTCTAAGAGCATAGTTGAGCATAGAATAGATACTGGATGGGAAAGTGTACCACCAAATAGCTAATTCAGCGTGATATTCTTTCTCAAAACGTTTAATATAGAATGGGGAAAGACAATCATGACGTTGACAGTACGTAATAAAGTATTTGATAGCCTGTTCATTATGTTCCATATTTAGAAGAATCTCCTTAAATAGTTGAGTATACATAAAATTTGGCTCCAACTGATTTAAATCTTCAGTTGAAGCCATATCATCTACGTTGAAAAAACTTACAGCCAATGCATCCTGGTCACATTGCGTAACAGTCCATTGTAATGCGTGGCGAATGTCTTTGATGTTTGTATGGACACCTTTAATTTTTGTCCAGTTCTGAGTCCATCCCTCATGTTTGGATTTATTGCTACAAAAAATGTAAATAGCATCTAGATGTGGCATGTCATGAATTTTAAGAACCAAATGTTGACCTAAAGAACCTGATGTGATGACAAAGATTCTTTGATGATCAACCTTGTTGAGTACTTGAAGGCACTGAGTCGGTTCAGTGCATAAGTTGACGTCATTGATCACATCCTTCAATTGAGTGAGTATGTCTTGGCAATCCGTGTTTGCTTGATCGATGCTGGCATCTACCCAAATGAGAAGGTAATTTGGAGCCATACGTTGTCGTAGTCGACGAAAATAAGACGCTGTTGTTCCATGAGACGATTTAAAATTCTGTTTGGAATATTTAGGATCCAGAATACGTATATATTAATAAGCGGACAATAATTGATGGTTAAACGAAGAAACGAACACTACTATTTATATGAGAATCAAATCGCTTCATCACAATGTTGCTATGGCATCATTACCTATCTTTTTTATATTTATTACTATTACCTATAATAAAATCCTATCCAGTGTATCACTCAGCTTATATCGTAAATCAAGGTGGGTAGAAAGAGCAAAAAAAGAAATCATTTATTCCAACTTCTTCACAGATAGGAGAAAATATCGTTACTAAAAATCCCATATTTACTCTGCAACTAATGCACGTCAACAGGCTCACTGTATTTTCTCTTTTCTGTGAACGATCAATAAAATCTTCTCAAACTTCTATACATATTAACAGTAGAAAGAGTGAATAATAATTAATATTAAACTCATTGTTTCGATATATTAATGATACCAACATTGTCAAAACCTCTGGTTTTTATCTTACTTCGTTGTCGAATGAATGAAAAAAACATCTGCATGCTCCAATAACAGGGTGTGGGTGTGGGTGTGGCGGCGTAGCTGTGGGTATTCTACGCATTTTACACCCACACCCTCAAGAAAGTGTACAAAAACTAGGACAAATGCTAAACGAGAACGGTCGCAATTTTTTCCATAATCCTGCAACTTGTGCAGAACCGAGAGTTATGATCATAGGATTAGCTGTTTTCTATTTTATAAACCCTATTTTTGGTAAAACTTTTCAATATCAATTTGATTATGTAATTTTCTCAATACAATTTCAAATTTAATAACTTCATTATATTGATGTTTATGAATTATGAAATACATTTAAATAAACATAAACGCAAACTAAGAATTAGATCAAATTCAAACAAGTATATTAAAATAAAATGGAATTCAATGCGCATTGTCAGTTACGAAATGTGCAGTTATTTGTTCAGGTCCGATACGATTTTGTCGAAATCGATTTATATAAATATCATATAAAACATATTTTGCTTGTCGACGAAATCGTCTTGATACACAGATGTATGTGTAAAATGAACTCTAAAATACATTCAAAAACAACTCGATTTATTTTTTTTTAAACAAAATATTTTACCCCATTTGTTAAAATATTAATAGTCAACGTAATAGCATTGATGAGATTGAGTTGAGCAAGAACAACAGGATTACGATTTGTATTCAGTTGTAAAAATCCACTTGTAATTGAATAAGGTAAATAAGTACAAACATAAACAAAAATTTCAACAAGAACCATCACTGTCAACTGTTTATCTAATTCATGTCGAATAAGTGGATGTGTTCGTGTTGTTAATGTTCGTGCATTTCGATAAGACATGATGCCAAATATAACAGCAATTAATGGGAAAAGATTACTCAGTGTAAGGAAATATCCGTAAACATGATATTGAAGAAAAATCGGATTGATTGGAATACAAACAGCTGTATTTATTGGTGATATTTGTCGGAAATATATCATATATAATACACCATGTGATGTCCAAAAAATTGAAACAATTATTGTCAAACGGTAAGCTAATTTAATATCTGACCATTTTTGCCATCGTTGACGTGTGCAAGTAGCAAAATATTGATCAATTATTGCTAAACATAACATTGTTATGGCACTGATAACACATGTTGCAACAATAAGATTTCTTATTTGACAATAATAAATTAAAACAGATGTCCAATTGATTGAAAATGCTATTGAAATGACAACAACTGAAGTACTGAATACTAATCGAATTAAATTAAATACGGACATAATGAGAAGATAAAATGCGCATGAACTTTGTCGAAAAGTTTTAAGACTAAGAAAAACAATGATACTGAATAATTCACTAAGAAGACAAATGAACCAGGTTGGAATCGAAACATAACGAGCAAATTGTATTCTTGCATTGTAAAGTGATGCGATATACTCTGCACTCATTTTGATGAATGTGAGTGAGAGAAAAAAATTTTGTACTTCAAGACACAGATAAAGACTGTAGACGTTATCTTTTTTTAGAAATAATTTTCAAAAGTAATAGGAAATTAGTTTTCTTTTTAAATACACTCAAAACAACTCACTACGATGTGTCAGATCAAAAGAACGCATTCATTCAAATTAAAGCTGACAAAATTCTCATTAATCAAAAGAAAATAACTATATTAGATAATTAGCTTTTCTTTCTTTGTGTGCAATTTAAAGTTTTTTTTCTCTTTTCAATAGGAATATACTCTCCAGATCAAGAAAACCATTCCATACGTACACCTCAGCACCCTCATATTTCGTTTTTGGCTGTTTACTTCTAAATGACCCATCCAGGTGTCCTGATGAAACGAAAATGGATGAAAGGACAAATGTATTTTTTTCACTTCTTTGAAAATTCAAAATGTTGTGCAATTCGAACAATTCACACCAAAAT